GTGTCCGTGTTGGTGTGTGTGCGTGTGTCCGTGTGTCCGTGTTGTCCGTGTGTGTGTGTGTGTGTGTGTGTGGTGTGTGTGTGTGTGTGTGTGTGTGTGTGTGTGTGTGTGTGGGGGTTGTGTGCTGTGTGTGTGTGTGTGTGTGTGTGGTGTGTCTTGGTGTGTGTCGTGTGTGTGTGTGTGTGCGTGCGTGCGTACGCCGATTGTTTTTTGTGTGCTCGTACCTGACTTCTTTGTTAGTCAATATATTATCATTTATTAATGCATCGTATCGGCAAGATATATATTTGTTGTTTGTTTTTATATGACGTATTTGTTATTGATGGTAATGGAAATCAGTTAAAATAAACAGTAAATACTAAATCACTTTACGTATTTCCAAAATCTCTTGTTTTAGCTACAGTCAATCATTTATAGGTTCAAGGACAGTTTTTGCAACGTGGCATTTAGCATTCACGTCATGCAACATCACTCGGATCTGTGTTCTGTTTTTGGCTAAACCATTTGTGGATTATAATTCAGCGGAGATGCTTCCCCCGAATTATCTTATATATATATATATATATATATATATATATATATATATATATATATATATATATATATATATATATATATGGGGGCCGCCGTGATACAATCAATCAATCATATATATATATATATATATATATATATATATATATATATATATATATATATGTGTGTGTGTGTGTGTGTGTGTGTGTGTGTGTGTGTGTGTGTGTGTGTATGTGTGTGTGTGTGTGTGTGTGTATGTGTGTGTATGTGTGTGTATGTATGTGTGTGTATGTGTGTGTGCATGTGTGTGTATGTATGTGTGTGCGTGTACGTGTGTGCGTGGATATAGATACCATTTTTGCCTTGCGGGTATTTTCACGATCCCCGGCAAAGTATTTGAACTCGCGGGGAGGCTGAAGGCACGAGGGGAATGCTGGAGTTTCGCAGAATTTCTTGACGGAGCTGCACGGACAGGCTCTCTTGCTTTAAGATGAGGTCAAATTTCAACACGATGCCCCTCAGTTTCTTGATATATATCCCTTTAGAATTCGCATCGTGGCTTCTGGAAAATGTTGATTATTATTTTATTGATTTTACTTCATTATTATTTTTTCATTGATTTTACTCCATTATTATTATTTTATTGATTTTACTCCATTATTATTACTTTATTGTATTTACTCCATTATTATTATTTCATTGATTTTACTTCAATATTATTATTTTATTGATTTTACTTTATTATCTTATTGATCTTACTTCATTATTATTTTTTCATTAATTTTACTTCCATTATTATTATTTCATTGATTTTACTTCATTATTATTATTTTATTTATCTATTTATTATTATCATTTTTTAATGGTCCACTAGTTATCCCCCAAAACCTTTACTTTATTCCCTAGCTCTCTTGGAAATCTCCCCATCTTGTCAAAATACAATCTCCTTATGCAACCAAAAACTGTGAGGTCATCAAAAATTC